TTTGAGCTTGGCAGTTCAGCCAGTTTCAGCCCAACTCATTGTCTTTATGTAGCCCTTATTCACCAGGTTGTCTATGAGGATGTTATAGGGAACAGGGTTAAAAACTCTTCTTAAGAAGAGAAACACAGCATCCACTGCTCTCCCTTCACTCACTATGCCAGTCATCGAATCGTAGAAGGCTGTGATGTCTGTCAAGCGTATTCGCTTTTCATAAGTCTATGTAGACAGCACTCTTCTTGTCCTTCATGGGTTTGGAAATGGTTTTCAGAACTGTTTCCTCTGCCACCTTTCCAGGGATCAAGATGAGGCTGACTGACCTGCAGCTCTCAGGATTCTCCTTCTCACCTTTCTTAAAGATGGGGGAACATTTGCTTTCTTCCAGTTCTCAGAAACCTCACCCAATCACCATGACCTTTCAGAGGTAAGAGTGGCCTCTCAATGACATTAGACTACTAGAGGAGTCATCAACATCATGGCCCATGGGCTCATGTTTTTCCAGTTGGTTTAAATGCTCCCTAACCTGGTCCTCTTCCACTGAGGGAAAGTCTTCCTCGCTCCAGGATTTCTGCCTCATCTCAAGTGCTTGGAATTCCAAAAGGCAAATCCTAACAAAAAAAAAAAAAAAAGATAGAGGAGAAGGCGGCATTCGGTACCTCAGCCTTTTACATGTCCTTTATCATCAAGTCCCCTGTCCCATTCGGCATCACACTCACATTTTCCTAATCTTTCTTTGGCAGCTGACATACCTGTAGAAGCCCTTCTTGTTGCTCTTCACAGCCCTCACCAGATTCAGCTCCAGGTGAGCTTCAGTTTTCCTAACGGTATCACTGCATATTTTGTCACTGCTCCTATATTTCTGCTGGAGTCATCCAACTCTGCTGCCCCTTCTTGTATGTGTCCTTTTTGTGTTTGAGTTTAGTCAGGAGCTCATTGTTCATCTGGGCAGGCTAACTACCACCTTCACTTGATTTTCTGCTTGTCCGGGTAGACAACTATTGAGCTTGAAGGAGGTGATCTTACTGACTCAACCGACTCTCCTGGAAACCTTATCTTTCCAGGACCACCTCCCATGGCATTCTTCCAAGCAGACCCCTCAACACTGAAATTTTTCTATTCTGAGACCAGGAGTTGTCATCCTGCTTTTTGCCTTATTCCCTCTTTGCAGCATCCTGAACTCCATCATCTCATGACCACTGAAGCCAGAGCTGCACCTGATGTACACATCAGGTTCTTCCTTGTTTATAAAATTAGGAGGCTCAGCAGAGCTCCCCTCATCAGCTCCTTAGTTACCTGTATCAGGAAGTTATCATCAATGCACTCTGGAAACCTTCTGGATTGCTTGTGTCCTGCTGTGTTGACATTCACAGACATCAGGTGGCTAAAATCCTCCATAAGGACCAAGGCCTGTGAACATGAGGCTTCTTCCAGCTGTCTGAAGAAGATTTCACCTACTTCTTGTCCCTGATCAGGTAGTCCGTAGCAGACAGACACCCACTACAATATTGGCATCTGTGGGCCAACACTGGGCTGCCCACTAATCCTTACCCAAAAACTCTCACTTGGTTCCTTGCCCAACCCAAGGCAGAGCTCTGTGCATTACTGCTGATCTCTCATATAAAATACCTTTATATAGTCATGGGGAAGACTGTAGACTGATAGAGTAAGTGGAGAGGTTTGTACTGCTTTATCCAGTTGAAGCTGATGATAGCAGTAGCTTCCTTTTGTGAAAACATCCACAACTTTCCCTCAAATTTAAACATTTACGTATCAGGCACTGCCATAGACGTTGTTCAAGACTTAGGTTGAGATATCAAGCGTTGCTGTGACATACCTTGTCTGCTTGATTCCACTCCCATTCTGGGTTTTATAACAGATTCAGGAAAGATCAGAACCAGATCCATCTTGCTGTAAAAGAATCCTGTTTACTACCAGCTCATTTATCTTTTTGCTATTACTAGAATGTCCTTGATACAGCATCCCAAGACTCCTTTACTGTGCCTCTTCAGGAACAAAAAATCTAATTCCTCCAATGTACGATGCGACTGACAAGTTTTCAGCTTCCCTTGATGCTTTTATTCATTCCAACAAAAAGCATTCATTAAAGTGCAGAAAATATATTGATTTCTTGCCCAGCCTTAATCACTGTGGGTTCAGGGGATCACAGAGAAGACTTGACTATACTAATTTTATAAACATGAACAAGAAGGGGCTGTTTGTCATTAGGTTTAGGAATCTTACATTTGGGTTTCTGTCATGCTAAGTTTGCTGCACTTATTCTGAAATTGCTCTGCCTTGCTTTTTGTTTAGTTTTGACATTTATTCACATACCACCTCTTTCCTCCCTAGTTCAACAGCACAATTTAGAGAAACTAAAATTTTCTTCTTTCTTCCTTTCTCTTGCCTTTCATTTCCAGATCTCTCTGCCATTTCTTTGCATAATTATCCCTTCTTCTTAAATTTGTAAAAAATGTCTTTTATACTGCTCTGATTTTTCTTTCTTATTTCTGAAACATTTCCTAATATTTTTCATTTGATATAAAATTTCTCGTCATTCCTTTCAGTGCAGAATGCCTTAAGTGTCACCTATTTCTGCTGTGCAGTTTTCTCTTTCTTTCTCTTCTTTTCACTTCCTTTACAGTTCCTCTAGTTCCTCCTTTTCTACTGACTGTCACTATACTTCTAAACTCTTTTATTTCTTCCTTGCTCAACTGTCGTTCCTTCCCTTAAATTGTTCTCTATTTTTTTGGGAGTTGTTTTTCCGCTATTAAGTCTTCCTTTGCTGTTGCATTCAAGATAAAATCAGACTGATTTTATAGTAACAAGAGCAAGTCATAGACATGTAGGAGGTTCTGCCTGCTCGGACATCGCACTCTGTCCTCACCACTTCACTTCTAAAGCCTTTCATGTCACTCTGCATGGGTTTTTTTTTGTGATTTGGAAGGTTATTTCTGGTTTTTTTTGGTTTTTGTTTTTTGTTTTTTTCCTTTTATGGCTTTATTAACATAAACTTTCTTAATCCTGCACTTCTTTATTTTTTCCTTCTTCCCTTGTCACTCCTTGTGCTTTTTCCATTTGTCATTTGAGTCTTCTTTTCTTGTGTGCTTCCTACTTATTATCATATATTCTGAATGCATGGCTACTTAGGTCTTTTTAGGTTTACCTTTCATAAATCACCTCCTTCTTTGTGTCACTTTTTTACTTAAAGCAGGCAGTGAGAATCTTTCTGTGTGTTGGAAAGAAACAGTCCCAAAAGATCCTTCCCTTGCCCAGAAACAGGGATTGCAGCTGGAGTGTGAAAGGATGACAGTGCCTCTGGTGGGTCCTCATGATGTGACACAGTATCCTCCAGGCTAAGCCCTCACCATCCCCAGATGAGAGTAGCAGATAAAGACTGTCCAAAACATCCTGTCTTGCTAATATGCACGTGTGCTGTTCTGCTCTTTCTCCAGTTTAAAGTAAAATCCTTCCTGTAACAAACTTAACACTTGACCAGGATCGCTACAGCTTAGGAGATGGTATATCAGATTTTTCACAAAATTGTACAATGGGCAGAACCAGTCTGGCTGATCAGTCTTCTACATTGTATAAGAGATAGTGTCTGTATACTGTTATATCTGGGCGGATGGTTGCATATTTGGGGGTGTGTATAAGTTTTTATGGCATTTACTATTTGTTTAACAGGCCATAACTGCTCTGAAGAAGTTATTATAGTCAGTTATGGATATCTGAACTTACGCACTTCTTTAAAAGTGGATTTCTTGACATGATATATGGAGCCATTAAGTTCTACAGTATAAATCCTTTGTACTGTCCTCAGCAAACCACTGAAGCAGTCATCTGCTCTGAGCCAATCTCTGCACTTACGCATATATGTTGTCACATGAACTGTTTTTAAAGTTGCAGAGGAGGAAAACTGCCATCAAGTATCAAATTCTAGGTATCAGTAATATGGATATCATAACTCCTTTCTGATTAGTTAAGAGTCTTAGGTTATTTTTTTAACTTATCCTTAAAAATAATTTTAACAATGCTTTTGGGTTATTTGATCTAAAAAAAATACATAAACAGTTAATTTTTTACTGATTTAACACTGAAAAATTTTGTAGCTCTTTTTCTAAATGGAGGAAGATCTTCTGGTTTGGTTTAATAAAAGAAATATGAGGAGTAATTTATCTTTACTATGTTGTATAATTTTGGAGTATTATCTTTACAACCCCAACACCTAAGGACCTCCCAACACTTGAGTAAGTAGCACAGTTAAGCAGCACATACAATTCCTTCTGGTGATTTCCAAACTGCTTCTTCATAGTAATAGTATATGGCCTTCAATAAAGCCTTCATCCTGCAGCTTTAATCTGCATGATTCTCCTAGATCACAGGCTTCAGGGACACTGAAGACTGTTGCTTTTTTTAATCTTCACACTTGTAATCAAAGGGGTACTCTTTACTGCAGTCTTTCTTATGATCAAAAGGTTGTTAAAATACTTTTATTTTCTTTGTGTATAAATGTTCAGGCACCATTGATATGGGCATTAAAGTAAATATCTTCCTTGATTCACACAAGTTTTCTTATAAAACTGGAGTTTCAACAACAAACTTTAAAACAATTTCCCATACACTGGATCTGGCTGGGATACAGTGCACTTTTTTTCAGAGTGGCCCATAGGGTGCTGTGTTTTGGATCTGTAGCTAAAACTGCTCATTACACATCAATGACCCTCCACCAATGTATGGGGAGCCAACCCGCTACAGCCATGAGAGCCAGACTATGGGAAAGTCGATCCATGTTAGACAGACCTGAAAATCTCTTGCCACAGAATAGTAAACAGTGAGTGACTTGAGCGCTCTCGGTGCTGTATGTTTAATATTAAATGTGCTCAAGGAACCTGTGTTGCATAGCTTTCTCACGTTACAGATGACATGATCCCTCCTAGATGTGTTTGCTGCAGAGAGCTGAATGATTTACTACTTAATGTCAGCTTTTTCTCTCTTGTTTTTAGCCCCTTGTGAAGCCAACACATTCTTTTGCCACAGTAATATGTGTATTAATAATACATTGGTCTGCAATGGACTCCAGAATTGTGTGTATCCTTGGGATGAAAACCACTGCAAAGGTAATGTGTAGAATTGGAAATGTCAAGTCATTTAGACTGCATGGGATGTAGCATATTATCTTCAGTTTCTTGTTAAGTATGTGCCGGACGGGTCAAAGCTCAGGAAGAGTAGTTCAAGGAAAGCATATATCAAGCAATAGAGAAAATTATGAGAGGTAAAAATACCGATGGATTTTATTTTCGATGTTTAAGTTTGTTTTGCTTGGTGTTGATTTGTGTTGGTTATGTCCTTCTGGTTGGTTATGTCCTTCTGGCAGGCTTTCTGATCACTCTATCTCTGTTTCTCGTACAATCTAAAATGTAATTAAAATCATATTTTGGTTCCTTTGTCATAGTTACATTTGTAGTGGAGCAACACATGGGTAGCAGGTGTCTTGTAGCTGCATGCCATGCCCATTATAGCCCAGGTGGGCTAAAAAAACACTGTGAAGTGGAATTAACACTGTAAGAAAGCAACAAAATCTATCAATAATCAAGTGAAATTGAAGAGCAAGAAACAAGCATAGGAAATTTCACAGGTAGAGACTGATGTTCCTAACCAGGTGCAGACAATGATTTCTAAATATTGCTCTGCATTTCTCGGGGGGGGGGGAAATATAATCAACATCGGTGTTTTCTTCAGGGAAAAGAGCTTAACTAACCTACATCACAGGCTAGGGAGGCAGTTTGCTTCCGTCCCGTCCCCCCTGCTACCACAGATTTATTCCTGGAAACATGGGATATGCCAAATTTAGGAACCAATCAAGAAACAATTCAGAATGAGGTGGATTAGCATCCAGCCCTTAAGTCTGCTGAAGCCTGTAAAACCCTGACAAGCAGTGCAATAGGGTAAAACACAAATGAAAACATACTTCAAAAGAACACAGCAATAGAATGATGTTCTTCAAAGAAGCTAAACATACAATTGGGAAATAATTATCTGTTCTCTACTTCTTCAGCACAGAGGAAAGTAGAAAATCTTCCCCACTCTTTAATTTCCAGAATTATTTTCATCTTTCGTTTGCCAAGTATCTTTTTATTCTGTCTTGTGGCTTTATCCTCTTATTTTTCTGACTAGAAAAAGATTTGCTGATTCCAGCAAAAAGATTGTTTGCTTCTGTGTTGCTTTTTCTAACTCTGCTGCTTCCCCAGCGTCTGCGTCAGTCAGAGAAACCTCAGGTGAATCTACAAGAGTACACAATGGGGAGTACTAAAAAGTTCATTTTTGTTATCTAGGAGATTATCAAGAGATGGGTGTTATTATTTTGGTGCCAATAACTTTCGTCTCAAAGGATTTTTATTAAGTCCTTTGATATGTTTTAGGTAGCCAGGAAAAATTACACTGAACTGGATGTTGAATCTTAATCACAGTTGTCAAGTCTTGCTATGCCTGTGAGAGACTGATGCTAATGCTTTCAGCTGGGATTTCTACAAGGCTCAGTCACCATCTCGTGTGCCTGCAACCATCTGAAAGCAAATCACAGAGAAATATACACAACAGTAGGGTGAAATTGGTTTTCTTTTTATTATTTTACTGCATATTTTCTGTTTTTCTTCATTCACAATGTCGAATTTGCTGGCTAACTACCTAGAGGCTGCTGAGTAACGGGTAGTAGGTAGGATCGGCCTTTGGATTTTAGTGGATGTTTAGAAAAGTCGTGGTAATTAATAGGTGAGGAACAAAAAAATTATCTTGCAGACATATTTTTTTTTTCCCTTCAGAAACTTTAATTTGAAAAACTTTTCTATTTTCCCTGGTTTAACTTTTCCATTGAATACTGTCAGCAGTCACAGTCAGCTTATAAATATTAAGACTTCACCAAAGCTCCCAATGAAAAGAAGAATTTCTTTTTAAGTCCTGTAAAGTCCTGCACTTTTGTTAATCCTATTGTTCTAGTTGCATATATTTACTGGAAGAGACAGAAAATAATGAAGACAACATCCGTAACAGTCTTGGGATGTTGTCTTTAGCAGGCAAATACAGTTAAGAGGTGACACTAAAGCCGTCTGCTTGTTACAGCGGTGCTTTTTACGAAAAATGTAAATAATTCTTTCATCTAGTTAAGCTTGTAATACACCCTGAACAAATCACTTTCCAAGGGAATAGACACACAGAGGACCTGTGTGTTATTTATTTGGATTTCACAAATATCTGGTTTCTTCCTTTTTTCTTTTTGTCAGTGAAATTAAGTGAACTTAGACATAGACTAGGCTCAACTTTGCAGTAACCTATGAACTCATCATGGTTCTTTTTATTCTTGAATTGCAATTAACACTGTGCTTTTTTTTTTCTTCTTTCACACAGAGAAAAGAAAAGCTAACCTATTGGACCAACTTACCAATACCAGTGGGACTATAATTGGTGTGACTTCTTGCATTGTGATCATCCTCATTGTTATCTCTGTTATAGTGCAGATCAAGCAGCCTCGTAAAAAATTTGTCCAAAGGAAAACAGACTTTGATCAAACAGTATTCCAGGAGGTATTTGAGCCTCCTCATTATGAGTTATGCACCCTCAGAGGGACAGGGCCTACAGCTGACCTTGCTGATGTTGCAGATGACTTTGAAAATTACCATAAACTGCGGAGATCATCTTCAAAATGCATTCATGACCATCACTGTGGATCACAAGTGTCTAGCATTAAGGGCAGCCGTAGTAACCTCAGCACAAGAGATGCTTCTGTCTTGACAGAAATACAACCCCAGCCTGTAAAACCACTCATTCAGCCCATGAACAGGAGAAATATCCTTGTTATGAAGCATAGCTACTCACAAGATGCTGCAGATGCGTGTGAGATAGACGAAATTGAAGAGGTACCAACCACAAGTCACAGGCTGTCCAGACATGATAAAGCTGTTCAGCGGTCAGTATCAATAGATTTTTGATGAAGACTATTGTGTAAGGACTTGATTGCCCAAACGTATTCACTCTTTATTCAGTAAAGACATATTTTCTTTCTTCTTTATTTATTGTTTAAACTTCTGTTTCCTGATAGCACATACCATTATATTATCTTTCTCTTCCTGTCTCTCTCATCTCTGCTCCCGTTTCCTGAAGGATCCTGTATCTCAGTTTTACCTTTCTACTTTATATCTTTCTTTTTCTTTTACTATTTTACACATATCCACATGCATACACACACAGTTCAACAGCGAACAGGTACAATTTTTCAAAACCAAAGAAGATTTTGTGTGAATATAGTTTTTGAAAAAGCCACATACATGTGGTTTCCTTGTAACTGAGGTGGCCTTGAGTATCATCCACTGTTGGTCTAAAATCTCTAAATCAATATATCAATAAATAAAAAACACATGTATGCATTATGATGCATGCCACAATAATGAGAAACACAATCCTGGGGTAAGGAAACTCCTTTTCTGATGAAACATTATTTTTTATATAATTAATGACAGTATTTGCAAAACTTTACTGTATCTATTCCATTATTAATCACAGTATCTTGGCTTGTCATATTAACATATATATATATCTCTCTCAATCAAAACATGAGATGGCACAGTGAATAGAGAATACTCATATATTTACATATAATGTGGTTAAAAGGAATCTTTCTAATCAATGAAAAAGTCAAGCATGCTATTTTTAATAAAAGACATTTTTACTGTATATTGCACTTTGAATGACTGTAAATATGAATAATTAAATGTTTATAAGTAAAAGAAAAAGAAAAGTAGAAACATTTATGAACCATTTATTTGAAAAAGAACACAGACATTTTTTACATATATTTGTGTTTTCTCTTGCATGCATTATTTAAGCACTTCTTGTGACTATTTACATGCCCTTCATATTTTCTTTGCACATTAAGGCATTTCTGTCTCCTAAAAAAAAAGTTATTGGATTATTTTAATCTAATTGCATGCCAATGTAAATTACTTCCTGAATATTGATCAGATTACCAAGGTGTACTGTTTATTAAGTATCTATATGCATATATTTCTTTTTTTCTATGCAAACATTATTATTTTGAATGAAATAGCCATAACATTCCAGGTTCTGCCTCATTGGGTCTCTAAGCAAACATGAGTCTGAGTACAACACAACTAGGGTCTAAGAGACAAACTTGAGGTAAGTAAACATACCTATACAACAATTGAACCATCTGTTGCTTTCCATTTTATTTGTTATGTTGCTAAAATGCATGTTAGTTCTTAAATTACATGTCACCTTGTATGGAGAGAGCTGGTTTTAATACCGAGAAAGCTGAAAGAATGACCATTTTAGCAAGTAAAATAAGCCAAATCTATTAATTTCTTATTCTTGACAGCACTATAATCATCTCCTAGAATATAATCTTCATTCCAAACACATTATAAAGACAGATGCTTTGCATGGCTCTGGTATTTCTTTTTTTTTTTTTTTTTTTTTTTTAAGAAAACAAAATTTAGAGTCCCAGCATGTGAAACAGGATGTAAAACTTGGCAATCTAACCCAAGACAGGAAGATATGGAACTGTTTTCAGTTCATTTTATTCATCTAACCTTGTGATGTGTCGGAGGAAGGGTATGTGGTAGTACTAAAAACTGAAAGATTCTGTAGCACTAATGTTAATGTTTGCAAATTAAACTTCCTTATTTTGAGTCTTTTCCTAGGCTTTTCGTTTTGTATAATTTGCTGTCAGTATTTAATCTCAATAAACAGAATCTCAGATGTTTATAATGAGGTTACAGATAGCTGCTAGTCTGTCAATTTGTATATGTATATGTGTATATATATATAAACATAGATATGTGTATATGCATGTTTATATGTGTATATATGTATACAGCAATTTTACCAGGAAAGAATCCATTAACAATTTCTTTGCTTCTAGATAGTTTAGGTAAATATTTGTCAGTATTTTTTCCTCAGAGAAAGAACGTAGTTTAACTTTGTTTTGCTTTCAGACAACTATTCATGCAGTTATGCAAACTCTGAATGGAAAAATCTATAGTGAATTATTTCAGCTGTCTGAAAGAGAGGATGGACATGTTTCTAATTTCATTTCATTGCTGTTACCCAAACCCAAGACATACAGACATATCTTACTTCCTTAGCAAGATATTCCCACTGCGTAATAATATGTTTCTTTTGTCATTTGGTTGCTGACCACCAAGTGCACCTTAGTTTTTAAATACATTTGGAGATTTGCTGCAAACTTGAAGAAGGAATTAGCTCATAACTGTAACTGTGTCCCCCCCCTCCTTTTTTGTTTTTCTAATCTTAGTTTTATTTCAGTTGATACGTTTTATGTCTGTTATTTACTTGTTTGTTGTGTGATATGTGGAAGAAGATTTACATTGAACTTTTGTTATATGTACATTGTTTTTATTATATAGACTGCTTGAGAATAGTGCGCTCCTGGGTGATTTTGAACATGCTACAATGAAATGTGAAACTATCGTCCTTGGATACACCAGCTAGAGGTTTTATGGACTCTCTGACCAGCTATTCTCATATCATGACAAAATTCAGCAGTGTTGAGTAAAATTACTAGAAGGCAATAAGACTTTGGTTATTATGCTTATCAGTCATTTCTCTTTTTCTTTTTCTCTCTTCTTTTCGTTGCAAGTTAAATTCCCAATTTCAGGAACAATTTATCGAAATCAGGTATTTAGCCATTCCTAATCACTTCAATAGAAATGTTTGTTGGATAAGCATCTAGCACTATGACTGAATTTGACATTGAGAAAATAATCTGCATGTATGTTACTGAATATTTGAGTTGGCAAATATCCCTTTATTAGATACATTGTAAAAAGCATGCATTCACAATTATTGCTGTTACTGTTCCATTTCTGTGTCATATGCTTGCTACTTGTAACTTTTTATATAAAGATACATAAAACAATGTATAATAATTTCTTACCTTGAGTTTAATGGCAATGTTTTCTTTCACCAAATTTATAAATCTTATGTAATTCAGGAGGTTAAGCTCAAAATGTAGCTTCTAGGAACTTGAAACCCAGCTACATCAGAGTATCGGCTGTCTCTCATCCCTCAGTTATTGAAACGCAAAATACATTAATTTCTTAAGATTTAAATTAATTCATAACACATAAAGTTGATCCCCTAATTTCAGTTAAAAAGTTTGTGATAACCTTTGTGTTCAATTCTCTACTCTTAATTAATTTATTTCCATGGCAATTATTAGGAAGTTTGCTTCAGTGTAGCAGAGTAGTAGATTTTTATCAGTTATACAAATGTTACGACTGGGCTCCAATTTAAGAGGTACAGATATAAACCACTTATGCAAGATAAAATTATATTTATAAATAAGCTATAAACAGTAGTAACCAACGCTGAAATCAAAACTGAGAAGTTAAGTTATTAAGGAATTATTTTAAGTTGAAAAGTCACAACTACATAAAGTTGAAAACCCCTTCATTTAAGAACTCAATAACCATGCATAAAATCATAGTTTCATTATCTAGTTGAAGTGTTGTCCTCCAAATTCTGTTTCAAAACAAATCCCAGTTCCTTCTTAAACATATTGTGTCATTCATGGGTTTTACATTTTTCTGTATGAAAATTTTACTAGTCTTTATGAAAAAATGAAAAGAATTCCATGGATCTTCCCAGAGTAGAAATATATGGGAGAAGAGAAAATCTGAAAGACTGACATAAAAATCAGGGTGATCTATAATTTACATAATTAAAAATATAGGAAATCTGATTTCTATAAAATTATTTCTATAAAATTATTTCTACAAATGTGATTTAGGAATGACATGAGAAGAAGAAGAGTTTCATGTATTTTGCCTCCTTTTTTGTAAACTATATTTGCAATGTATTTTACATATTGTGATTGTAGCTTGATTAATTTGTTTGTTATCACATATCAGCTGCAAAAAACAATTTTCCATCCTCCACAGTCATTAAGGGTCATTGAGTCATCTCTCAGTTACATAATTTTTTAGCATGCACTAATAGTTAATTTCCAAATCAGTATCTCTTTCCAAGTTTATATACTTTATCACTGTTTTTTTTCTCTTGGTCTTTCCAAATCCTATCTCATGATCCTTTCTTAAGCATGTTATGTTATGATATTTACCACGTCCATGCTAAAAACGGATGCATCCATGCATCCAGTATAAAATCAAGGAAGAGTGAAAGACTTGCTGAAAGAAATGCATATACATGCACACACATTTATGTATATTTATAAATATTTGCTGATGGAGGTAGTGTATAAATAAATATATAAGGAGAAATCTAAATATGTGAATTTAGCTTTGAATTAATTATATTGTCCACCTAGAAAAATGTTGAAGCCTTTGATTTCAAAGTTGCTATATATTTAAGTGCCTAAATCCCACTAAAACATAGAGTTGGTCTAGTCATACCTAGATAAGCACACAATGAAATCCTTTTTATGATTTTTCCAGTGAAGCATTGACTGAGAGACCTTAACTGGAGAAGACATGGGTATTAATAATTACGTTACATGCACATCCTTGCTTTCTTAAAAAATAAAATAAATAGTTACATCAGAGAAAATGAGTGACAAACATAAAACCCCGTGTAAATAGGACAGGTCAAGCAAAGTAAGAACAGTAATGCTTACTTGATCTCAGAAACTCCTTTAGAAACATTTTGTCTATTACCTAAGTATACCCTTAAACAAAAACACCCTTGTAAGTGACAAAACGTGTATACTGGGAGAATAAGGTGGAATTATAAAATTATCTATTAAAAAAATAAACAACAATAAATTTGAAACCAATTAAAATATTATAATTGAAATATTTAATTTTAAGTAATTATATTATGTATATAGTCAGTGTCAATAATAGCCTAGTCCACTATACTGCAAACAATAAAGATAACTTTTGTTTGGTATCACACAATAGTAGGATATCTTAAAGTGATCTATAAAACTCAAAACATTAAAATAAAAGGGGTTGTTGCTGAAAGTAAACAGTTTGCCTTTCCCATGAGTTTTTTTATTATTATGAAGCTACCTTTTTTAAAAAATTTAAAAAAAAAAGTGTTTCAACCAAGCTAGTTCAAACAGACAAGCTAATTGACGCAACTTCACACAAGTTTAATTAGATACAAAAAGAATACTCAAAACTGGTATTTGACCACATACTATAAGTGACATTTGACCTATTTTTTTACACCTTTTCCATTTTAAGAAAAGGTTTGGCTTGTTAAACTAACACAGCTACGATGTATTCTGTACAATAGTTTAGTAAATTACGGTGGATTAGCTGAGCTGGTAGTCTTAGATTCATGCATTTTACTTCATCTTTGCCTTAGGCTAAAACTAAGAATGGTAGTTGCTAGACCATTTTGGTTTGACTGGTGCAATGTGTGTGATGTATAGACATGTTGACAGTATGCTTATTTCTTATATATTTTTTAAAGATTGATTTTTGTTATCACAGAGCATTGCATATTGTTCATAGTTTTGCCTTTTTTTTTCTTTCTTTCTTCCATGGAGGTAGTGTTATGTATACACTTTTCTTTTTAGACGATAGTGTGAACAACCACTCCCAAACATTTTTATCTGCTCCAGGAAATATGGCCTTTTCAGTTTGTGAAGTCTTCTCTACAGCATCATTTTAAAATCTCAGAAATTCCATTTTGTGACCAAATTTATAAACAAGAGAAAAGTTAGTACCTTATCCTTCTATTTTTCTTCATTTTTATGCTGGAGTTATCCTCTTGAACCTAGAAGTGATGTAACCAATGGGAGCGAATAAGAGAAAGTAGAAAGATTTCCTTCTCAAAAGAAATTGCTAGCATGGAAAAATAAAAAAAGGCAGAGGAAGAAAAGACACAGAGAAAGATATGCTAATTAGAAGAGTATGAAAGATTGTTGCTCATACTCACTCACAAATTTATAGACACATTTAGGACAGATAAATTCCTTAGCCATCAAATAAAAATGTACTGTCTATGTCCAACTCCAAAAGATAGCTATGATACTTCTGCTTTATAGAACACTGTCCTGCAAACAAGTTGGTCTTTTGTGTTTTCTCATCTTCTACTGTATGTGCTATCTCCCTACTATCACAAAGGTGTTTCAGCTGAGGGAGCACAGCTGAAGAGAGCTAAGTGATACCAAAGGACAAAAACTGCACCATTCAAAACTCTTAACACAGAAGTCTATATCTGATCTGGAAGTCTCTCATCTCCTCCCTCCTGCCTCAACATTTGATGTGAAGTCCTGGACTCATGGCTCCACTGCTTTTCCTCATCATTACCTTGGCATCATCTCTCTTTACTCTTTGATGAACATTTTACATCTTTCTGTCTTTCATTTCTATCCACAGTGAGTTTAGTTCTGTTCCCATCTCTCCAAATTCATGGAAAATGCTGAAATCCTATCAGCTCACTGACCTTGTGTTACCCTTGCATCCACCTGGATCTTTCACATCTATTGCTTCAGAGCCATCTTAACCTCACCTTACCTGTGAACAGCAAAATGAAAACACATGATCGCAGCATATCTTAATTGCCTTTAATTTATGCAACACAACAAAAGCTATGAAGATGTATTGGGATGAATTGAAGTACAGGCTTATTAGGAATATTGGATTTGTATTTTAATGACTGTGCATCAGTGTTGTCTGGGCCATCAGTCTCTGGGCTGTCGTATCTGCTCCTGCTACAGTCACACCTCAATGTGCCTCACAGAGAAACACATCTCCACCCCTTTTCTTCTCCCATTGATACCTGCACCATTGTCAAACCAAGTTTTGTTTCGAGCGCTTCTATGTTGCCTCCTATGCTGTATTTATATTAGTATGTCCCTCCACACAACATGAATCCCCATCCTAACCTGCTTCACATTCCTATTAAAACACATTTGAGCTGCATAGCCTGGCAAACACTTGCCAGCGGTGTGGCAGAGTTATCATTGGCAAGGTAAGAACATCAGCTACCAGGAGAAGCAGGAGTTGCTGCTTCCCTCCCTTTTCTTTCCCAGGAAAAGCAGTCACGCTGATCTGCAATCTCCCAACAAAGTCACTATAGGAAAAAAGGGAAGCTGCTGGCTCCTTCAAGCAACAAACTGTAACTAGGAGAAACAATCTGAGCAGCCCATGATAAAAACCAGAAGGAACAAGATTGCTCAGATTTCATTACCAAAGTAACAGGCCTGAGCAACACCGTGCAGCAGCACTGCATCTCTTCATTCTCAGATAAGGGAAGACTGAAGTGCAATCCTTCTTTGTTCCAAGAAGCAGGATACCACAACTGTGAGTACCGATTCTGCTCAGGGCTCTGGAAGGACTTAACAGCTGCTTGTACAAATGCAGGCAGGCAAGGACTTACTGGGGCCATACAGGCAGTTTTGCACTGCCACATGCAGTGCACAGTTCTGCAATATCTACTTGCTCAGACCTTTTAAGTTTGTCATTCTTCAGTCTGTCCTCATCAGCTCCAGTGAGAGACACAGTAAACGCACTCAACTATTTCTAAAATGGTGGCTTAATTCGGAAGTGATTACTTGGCATTTAGTTTAGTTGGATGTGAAAGACATCCATTGCACTTGCTGCAGCTATTGTAAAAAAAAAAAAAAAAAAAGAGGGGGAGTTTGCACAGGTCTTAGATACATGTATTTGGTTACATGAACCATTCAGTTGCATCAACTTCATCAGTAAACGAAGACACTTTCCGTCTCAGATTTTGCTAATAAAACTCCCTCTAGATCCTGCTTTTTTTCTGAGTTCAGTTAAAATTTAAATTAGGAAAAATCAGTTTGTTAAAAGCGAATGGCTTTCACCATTTTTAGTGAAGCACAGAATACAATTTACCTTGGGGAAGGAGAGCTTGATTCCTCATTTCCTGCTTAGTGCTAGAGGAGTTGTCAACATTAGTGAAAAGACAGGTGAGCTGCTCTTTCTCT